ATTTCATAGATTTGTTGAATGATTTCTGAGAATCAGAGAAGCCTCGTGATTGGAGGAAAGAACACCAAATATCTTGCCTTCCCCCCCTACCTCCTAACTTTCCTTTTAATGCTTCATATTTGAAACAGTAACAACTGAGAGGCCTTGGGATTAGAAGAGAGGAGGTCTTGATTTAGAACAAGTAGAACATTATTCAAATAATATGGTGGCTTAAGAATTTATGGGGAGTCAATTTTGCAAGCTCATCTGATACCTTATGCTAAGAGGAAGGTTTTCTTTCTTTTTTTTTTTTTTTTTAGGCATTTGGGGTTAAGTGACTTGCCCAGGGTCACACAGCTAGTAAGTGTCAAATGTTTGGTCTCAGGTCCTCCTGAGTTCAGGGCCGGTGCTCTATCCACTGCGCCACCTAGCTGCCCCAAGAGGAAGGTTTTCTTTTGCACTTTAATTACAGATTTTTCCCCCTTCATATGTAATTTTTCTTTTTCTATTGCTCACAAATAATTGTAACTGTTAATACTGCAACCAAGAAGAATAATACAGTCACTAGTCTTGCTTTGGATACCTCTGATGTTCCACATAACCAATCATATCTCCTCCTCTGAGCTAAAATAAATTGGTCCAGGAATTTTTGAAGTTCTTCCTGGCCTCCCTTAAGAAATATTATGTTTTATTGTTTTTGTTGTACCTTGTGGTAATACGATCCTCTGTCTTCATTGTTTCTAGGCAGGCTTTTTAGTGTTTGGCTAACTGCACTTTGCCTGGCAGTGCTACAGTGAAGTGTTAATAGATTTCTTTGTGCTAGTTTTTAGTCTGATGTGATGAGATGATCATGCAATAGATCGCAAAATAGGATAACTTTGACAGTCCCAACAGAAGTTTAGTTTATATTGTTAGATGCTATCTCTAACACCTGTCCTAGAAACTTGATTGTCCAAAATTTCATTTATTAATCTTTAATCTTAAGTCTTTAACTTGAGAGATGTCAGGAAAATTTTCAATCATTTCTTAACAACTGAAGACTGATTTCTCAAATGACCTACAAATATTAGGTGTTTTCTGCAGAGAGAGGTGAAAATTGCCATTTCCATATCTCATCATTTTCCAAATCTGTTGCAACTCTTTGAAATACATTTTTTAAAAATAATACCCACCTTTTACTTCCTGTTGATGTCATTTGGATACAAACATCGTGGTAAATTTAAAAACTTCTAAATTCATTTCTGCAGTTATTCTAACAATGGAGTCTTTAGTAAAATTACTTGTCTCTTCCTTTTTTTCCCTTCCTTCTTTGCTTCCTTTTTTTTCTTTTTTTTGGTGAGGCAATCGAGGTTAAGTGACTTGCCTAGGAACAAGAGTATGCTTTGTGTGTGTGTGTGTGTGTGTGTGTGTGTGTGTGTGTGTGTGTGTGTGGCAATTGGGGTTAAGTGACTTGTCCAAAGTCACACAACTAGTGAGTGTTATGTGTCTTGAGTATTTGAACTCAGGTCCTCCTGACTCCAAGGATGGTGCTCTATCCACTGCACCACCTAGATGTCCCCCTTCCTTCCTTTCTCCTTCCCTTCATCCCTCCTTCCTTCCCTTCTTCCCTTCCTTCCTTCCTTCCTCCTCTTTCTTCTTCCCTTCTTTCCTTCCTTCCTCCCTTCCTTCTTCCCTCCCTTCCTCACTCCTTCCTTCTCTCTTTCTCTCCCTTCCTTCCTTTCTTCCTTCCTTCCTACCTTTCCCTTTTATGTAGAAATAACTGTGTGTAAAAATTGAAGCTCTTGACTTTTTACTTTAGCGTAGTTGACTTGATACATCATTGATAGCGATCTATGGCTAAGCCACCAGGAAAGACCTTTTAACAACAGAGTCTCATTAGCTTTAGTTCCTTTACCTCCTTGTGAAGATATGAGTCAGTTTAGATAGGCACCATGAACAAAAAAAATTTGGAGCTGGTGCAGACCTCAGAGATCCTTAAATCTAGCAGCCTTATCTTGGAGGTGAAGCGACAGGCCCGAGGAAGGGAAAGGACTTGGATAAAGTTAGTTCTTGGTGGAGCTGTTACTAGAATTTGGGTCTTTGTTCTCCCAGGTCTCTGCTTTTTATACTATATCACATTGCCTTCTTAATGAGAAGTAATATTGCCTATTCCAAAGATACGATATGGAGAATGATTGAAGTGGTGGGCAGGGGGTGATGGAGGTGGGGGAAATGGAGAATGGAACTAGTAGTTTTCTACCTCCTTCAAAATGAATCTTTCAGATTAAAGAAAGAGGAAATGGAAGAACCATATGTACAAACAGATAGATAAATAGAATAATAGATAGCAAATAGATAGGGGTATCCATCAATTGGGGAATAGCGAAACAAATATATGTTGATATATTTGTCGATATATTTATACATTGTTTTACTTTTTCCCTAATCACCTTGAGAAACAGACCTAATAGTGGCATTGATGGATCAGAGGGTTTTTACAGTTTTGTAATTCTGGGCATATTTCCGGATTGCTCTCCAAAATGGTTAGATCAGTTCACAGTTCCACCAACAGCATATGAATATAATGAAATGCTGCTGTGCTACAAGAAATGACAGAAGGGATGGATTCAGAGAAACCTGGGAAGACTTCTCTGAACTGATACAGAGAGAAATGAGCAGAACTAGGGGAACTTATAACAACAGTATTGTAAAGACAATTTTGAAAGACTTATGTATTCTAATCAGTACAATGATCAACTACAGTTCCAGAATACTGATGATGAAGCATGTTGCCCAGCTTTTCACAGAGACACAGTATTTTCAAGATACAGAATGAAACATACATTTTTGGACATGGACAATGTGGGAATTTGTTTTGCTTAATCATGCATGTTTGTTAAAGAGGTTTTGTTTTTGTTTTGTTTTTGTTTTAATTTTTATTCATTTTAAAATTTAAATAGAAAAAGACAAAAAAAGAACATTTCTATATAGACAGCACAACATAAAAAAAGGATTCAATATAAAAATGAATTTCCATTTCACACTGTTTATTTAAAAAAAAGCTATGTAATAAATACTACACATCATTTTCAAAGTTATCCTACTTTTCTGTGCTTCTTTCTAAGTTTTCTTCTTTACTGTTAACTTTTTATTTTTTTCTCCCTCCTTCCCCACCCTGCCCTATAGAAGGTTACCATTAAACACAAATAGGTATATGTATGTGTGTGTATATATATACATACATACACACACAAGTAAAACCATACTATACATACTTATATTTATCAATTCTTTCTCTGGAGGTGGATAGCATCTTCCTTTATAGGTCCTTTGTAGTTGATCTGAGTATTTATAATACTCAAAATGTTCAAAGTTATTCTTAGAACAATATTGTTGTTACTATGTATAATGTTCTCTTGGTTCTGCTCATTTCACTCTTCATTATTTCATTCAAGTTTTCTTTTTTTAATAAAATCAACCAGCTCATCATTTCTTTCTTTCTTTCTTTTTTTTTTTTGTTTTTAGGCAGTTGGGGTTAAGTGACTTGCCTAGGGTCACACAGCTAGTGTCAAGTGTTTGGTCTGAGGTCAGATTTGAACTCAGGTCCTCCTGACTCCAGGGCCAGTGCTCTATCCACTGCACCACCTAGCTGCCCCCGAGCTCATCATTTCTTACAGCGCATTTTTATAGCACAATATTCCATCACAATCATATACCACAATTTGTTCAGCCATTTCCCAATTGATGGGCATCCCCTCAACTTCCAGTCCTTTGCCACCACAAAGAGAACTGCTATAAATATTTTAGAGCATATAAGTTATTTTCCTTTTTTCCTAGTCACGTTGGGTGGCATTGATAGATCAAAGGGTATACACAGTTTTATAACTCTGGGCATATTTCCAGATTGCTCCCCAAAATGATTGGATTAGTTCACAGTTCCACCAGCAGTGAATTAGGGTCCCAGTTTTTCCATTTCCCCTCCATCATTTGTTGCTTTGCCCTTCTATCATTTTAGCCAATCTGATAGTTGTAAAATGATATCTCAAGGTTGTTCTAATTTGCTTTTCTTTTTCAGTGGGTGAGATGTGAGGGAGAGAAAATCAATGCTAATTGAAAAATAAAATAAATTGAAAAAACTCAAATGAATATTTAAAATGTAGTTTTCTTTTTTTGAACTGTTATAAATTCTAAGCATATCAGACACATCTCTATTAAATTGAAAATACAAAAACAACCTTTAAACTAAATGTATGTATTTTTGTGTCATCCTTGTCATCAGTAAGAAGGCAAAGGATGAATGGCCACTTGTTGAAGATAATGTAGATAGAATACTTAGTCAGGTCCAGGCTGAACTGGGTATCTTCTGAAGCTTCTTCCAAATCGATGAAAATACTTGACGGTTCTCCATTGCTCTAGGTTTTCTTCTTATATTCAACAACTGTTTCCAATTTTAGATTACCTTAGAAGTGATGAGCTAATAAGGATTTCGAGTTGGGTTAGAGTTATGCTTCTCTTTTTCCATGTCCTTTTAGGGAAAGAGATAAGAAACAGATATGTGATTTTATAGGTAGGGAACTCAATGCAAGTTCACTCCTCTGCAACTTATATCCTTAGATGTTTGCTAAGAGCACTAAATGATTAATTGAGTTGCCCAGGGTGACATGGCCAGTATATGTCAGATGTGGGTTTTATACCTCAGGGCTTCAAGGCCAGCTCTATCTATTTCACTGTGGCTGCTTATCATTCTACTGCAAATATTTTAAAATTTGAAATTCAGATGATTGGGTAAGAGTTTTCCTGGAAGAGTTCAGTATTTTGTATTTTTTCCCATCTGTTAAGGTATATGTCTATATATTCAATGATGTTAATTGATAGCTTGCTTAGACATATGCATATCATTAATTGGCTATGAAATATAATTTATCAATTGAAGTATGGAATTTCTTTGTAAATTCCCTTGAGAGCAGTTGATGGGTTCATTGTGAAAACGTCTCTTTCTCCTAATAACTGAAACAGTGTGATAATTTTCTCTCTCATTTTAGATTTCCTCCTTCTTCACCCCTGAAACCATACCCAAAGAGATCACCTTACCAAGCAAGCGTTATCAAATTCCCGGACTGGACTGATCAACCACCAGGCACTACCCAAGAAAACATACCTGTGAGACCTATTGTTATGGTACGTACAATTACAGAAAGTTGGGGAATGGTAGCAATGGCAAATAGTATTGAAGCACCTGACCTAGTCCCATTTCTCCCACCCCTCACTCTATTGATGCTCTATCATTCATCTAAATACATTCTGAAACTAAGTACCTGCCAACAGTAGAAAGGCCTGCTATGAGGTGTTCTCTAGTACATGTTCTAATATTGACAGAAAAATATACTGGAAATTTTGTGGCTTTTTTTTTTTGATACAGAATGGAACTTTCCATTTATCCTTCATTGATTCTTACTAGTGATCACTTTTTATCCTCTGATCTATAGCATCCTTCATTCCTTTACCTTTTCTCCTTTTTCTCATCACTATCTTTCACCTCTCAGTTACCAGTGGAGAGAGAACAGATTAGGAGAGGGAATTTGTGGAGTGGAAAAATCCAGTGAGCAGCAATGGGTTTTGCCAGTTGTAGAAATTACCTAGGCTCTTAGCCAATGTGAAATACCCATCCTCCACATTCTCTTTTCTCTACTGTTAAATTTCTTCAGTAGGAGGCTATTGAGACTAAGATAATTTAGAACTGAGAAATGGAGCATAGTGAGTTTAAAATAATAATAATAATAGCTAACATTCATATTGTGCTATGAAGTCCTTTATATGGTGTCCATTAGACACCATAATACATGCATATATATATATACATACATTTATAATACATATACATATATAATTATTCTATAAACCTATTAACAGTTCTTTCTCTGGATGTAGAGTATATATATATATATCTATATATGAACATATATAGATATATATATATCTCATGTGATTTTTACAATAACCCTGGGAGGTAGATGTTATTGTACCCATTTACAGATGAGGAAATTGAAGTTGAGAAGGGTTAAATGAGTTGCCTAGGGTCATGATGCTAGTAAATATCTAAGGTAGGATTCTAACTCAGGTTTTCTTGACTCCAAGTCCAATGCTCTGTCCACTGTACCACCAGCTAACTTGTGAATGAATACATACTATATATGTGTGTATAGATATGTGTATATATATATATATGCATACACACACACTATATATATATATATTCATACATAATAATCTTATATATTAGACTGTTTTTTAATCAGGCTTATATTGTAACATAGCTGTGTTTTTAAAAGTATGATGAAATCTCAGATTTTTTTATAATTAGATTTTTATCATGTTGCACAAGAGTTTTGTTTTTTTTGTATCAGACAGTCAACAAGTACTTTTTAGGCTCCTCCTATATGTAGCAACTGTGCTGAGTGCAAGGGATAGATAGCAACTTCACTTCTGAATTCTTGAAGACGATGCCCAGAGAGTACAGGCTCCAGCAAGATCTCAGAGGCTGTAAGTACAGGCCCAATATTGGACTATGTGTCACCAAGGACCTGCCCAGCTGAATCTGGAGAAGCTAATCACCAAGAAGTTGGCCACCAAGTGATGAATTTTCATTGGTCATAACTCATGAAGATTGTTTAAGGCGACAGAGTAGCTTGATTCTCATTGGAATTCTCATACTGATGATCTCATAGAACTTTTGAAATATGGAGGTATAATATTGGTTCTACCCAGTATTCTAGGGCTTTTTTTCTTTTTCAATTTATGGAATAAAACAAGCATTTCCATAACATAGTATAATAAAAAAAAATGATTGCACATGAAGCTGCAAATCTACTATGTATAGCTTGTTATTCCTTTTAAATATATAACAGTTATCATAAAAATTTCTTTTTTCTTTTTTTCTTCCCTCCCCTCCCCCACCCTAGAGATGGCCACCATTATACACAAATAAGCATACATATATATATATACACACATACATATATATAATACATAATACATGCATATATATACATTTATAATACATATACATATATAATTATTCTATAAATCTATTAACAGTTCTTTCTCTGGATGTAGAGTGTGTATATATATATCTATATATGTATGTATATATATACATATATATATCTTTATTTTTATTTAGTATTTTATTATTCCCCTGTTACATGTAAAAACAATTTTTAGCATTCATTTTTAAATCTTTGAGTTCCAAATTCTTTCCCTTCCTCCCTCCCTAGCCCCCCCACCCATTGAGAAGGCAAGCAATTCGATATAGGTTATACATATATAGTCATGTAAAACATATCCATAATAGTCACATTGTGAAAGAAACCATAATCAAAAAAAAACCAAGAAAAATTTAAAAAAGTAAAAAAAAAGTATGCTTCAATCTGTATTCAGACACTATCGATTCTTTCTCTGGGGATGAATAGCATTTTTTATTATATGTCCTTTAGAGTTGTCTTGGATTGTTGTATTGCTGAGAATAGCTAAGAATAACTAAGGGCAACAGCTGATCGCCTTACACTGTTGCTGTTACTTTGTACACAGTACATTTCACTTTGCATCAGCCCATGCAAGTCTTTCCAGGTTTTTCTGAGAGCATCTTGCTCATCATTTCTTATAGTACAATAGTATTCCATCATAATCACATACCACAACTTGTTCAGCCATTCCCCAATTAATGTGCATCCCCTTCATTTCTAATTCTTTGTTCCCAGAAAAAGCTGCTATAAATATTTTTGCACATATTGGTTCTTTTCATTTTCTTTTTTTATCTCTTTTGGGATACAGACTTAGTAGTGGTATTGCTTGGTCAAAGGGTATGCATGGTTTTATAGCCCTTTGGGCATAGTTTCAAATTGCCCTACCTAATGATTGAATCAGTTCACAACTCCGCCAGCAGTGCACTAATGTCTCATTTTTCCCACAATCTCTCCAATGTTTGTTATTTTCCTTTACTGGCCTATTAGCCAATCTAATAGGTATGAGGCGGTACCTCAGAATTGTTTTGAGATCAATGTCATTCTTGTTACAGCTTAGAATGGAATAAAATGGATGAGGAATGTGAAGGAAGTTGTTGCCTGGAGTGATTTTTGATTGATACTGATAGGAGGCATAATGGATAGAGAGGACATTGGCCCTGGAGTCAGGAAGATGTGAATTCTAATTCTACCGCAGCAGTTCCTGAGTTCAAATCTGACCTCAGATACTTATTAGCTGTGTGACCCTAAGCAAATCACTTAACCCTGTTTGCCTCAGTTTCCTTATGTGTAAAATGAACTGGAGAAGCAAATGGCAAACCTCTCTGGGATCTTTGCCAAGAAAAACCCAAATGGGGTCATGAAGAGTTGAATATGACTGATACTATTGAACAACAAATAGATTGATGAGTCATTATCTAGGACACACATTATAAATTTCTCAGCCACACCATCTCCACTCTCCAACAGTGAAGAGAGCTCTGTAATACTTTCTCTCCATGAACATTAAAGCAGAGTTTCTGACAACTTAAGAGAAAACACAACTTCATGAATATGCCCACATAAATGAAGAGGAAGGAGATTTACTTAAGGTGTCATGAATAGAACTGTAATCAGGTCAGAACAAGAGTTAACAGCCCATTTCTTAAGACAAATATTAGAACAATGAAATTCTTTTTTTCCTTTTGCCAATCACAAGTATTTAAGTAATTTTAATTTTGACTCCTGGACTTTAGATTTTGTGCTAATTTGGACCCAGCCTATCTACTTTGCTATAACGGAATTCTCTTGGTGGAATTTTCGCTCCGTCTTTCAGAAAAGAAATCATTGCATCAGCTGCTCTCAGAAGGCAGTCAAGCCTGGGACCACCACCCATTTAATTAAATCCAGGCACCTGTTTCTAGCTTAATTTATCACACACATAATTCCTGAAAAAAAATGATAAATATTTCTTTTTTAAAAATACTACAATTTCATTGATTTGGACAGATTTTCTCTTTATTCCAAATGCTTCTAAACCATTGTCTAAGTCAGTGAAAAGAATGCTACCTATAGTTAGCTCTCTCACTATTAAGTACTCTCTGATGGAGTTCATGGGAGCTATAGGATTCCTGTGCACTGTTATGATCCAAATACCTACACAACCTATTTGTTGCTATAACTACTCCCCACTCCCTACCCTTACATCTGAATTGTCAGGGTAGTTAGCACTTACTTATAGTTGTTCCTTTCAAATCAAGTTTAGACTTGAACCTAGTCACAGAACATAATTTGCAGGAAGAGAATTCCATTTTTATATTGAAATGTTTTATATTAACTTTTTTTTTCTTTTGGGGTTGATGGTGTGGGGGTGAGTAGAATTCTGAATCCTGGTACAAGCGTCACAGTATCGCAATTGGAGAAGTGCCCGCCTGCCGCCTTGTCTACCGGAAGCAGCTGACAGAGGCCAATGTGGAGGAGATCTGGAAGTCTATGACATTATCACAGTAAGTCTATTTGGCTCTCTCTAAATGTGGCTATTGATTAAAACATTCAGGAACATCCCTCTGCTCTAATTGCTACACAGATTTGCCAGTGGTTTATTTTCTGCAGTTGGAAAATTAAATCCATATTGTTTATACTAATTAGACGTGTTTACTATTAAGATTTAGTCTCAGCTTTTGTTTGCTCTATTTTGCTGCTATGATGCATAGAGAAAAGATTTCACTGAAGCTTGGGAGTTTTCCACTTTCCATTCATATACCATTTTTTTTTTTGCATGATGGTTAAGATCAGGGAGCTTTTCTAAGCCCAGAGTATTCCGCACACTTGCCAATAACAGTTAAGTGTTTAGCTTAATGAGGCAAGGAATGGAAAATCTGGTCTCCTTTTATATGAAATACTGTAGGTAATGAAAGTTAATATTATGAGTAGAACAGCATTTTCTTCTTGCACAAAAAATATATATATATATATATACTTGTGGCAGTTTCTAATCACTGACTAAGCTGGCTCCTCTGTGGTTTTCATATCTTTACTTGTAAAGTGATGTTTTTGGCATTCAGGGATTTCTATTACCATAATAGTGAAGCATGAGTGTGTTAATAACTAAAGAATATTGTATAAGTCAGTCTCCACCCTATCTGTTCCTGTCCTCATTTCCCCATGAAACCACGGAGGTAATAAATACACAAGGAATGTATTATAGAGATTGATTTCTCATCATGTTAGATTTTGAGATGTTTTTCATTTTTTAAAAAGAATTAAGCTATTATAAATTATTATTTTTAACAGTTTACAGAAAATCCTTGAACTGGACTCCCTGGAGGAAGTTTTGGATACCAAGCTTGTCAACTCAAAGTTTATCATCCACAATGTATACAGTGTTAGTAAGCAGGGAGTTGTCATCCTCACGGATAAATCAAGTGAGCACATAGTAATGCTTTGTTCTAGAATGACTTTTTTGGTAATGTGGTACTATGTCAACTTTGATAGCTTACAATCTGTTACTCACTGTCTTACTACACGGCACAGGGGATGGAGCATTAGGCTTGGAGTTAGGAAGACTTGAGTTAGAATCCTGCCTTACATACTTGTTCACTCATTTTAGTCACGTCTGACTCTTCTGTGATCCCGTTTGGGGTTTTCTTGGCAAAGATGCTGGAGTGGTTTGCCATTTTCTTCTCCAGCTCATTTTACAGATGAGGAAACTGAGACAAACAGAGTTAAGCCCAGGGTCACATAGCTAGTAAATGTCTGAAGCCAGATTTGAACTCAGGAAGATGAGTCTTCCTGACTTCAGGCCTGGTGCTCTATTCACTGCTCCACTTAGCTGTCTCTCAGTTTCAGGTTCCTCATCTCTAAAATGGGAATAATAATAGCACCTACCTCAAAAGGTTATTGTGAAATTCAAACAAGATAATGTATCTAAAATGCTTTGCAATGCATAAAACCCTACGTAATATAATGATACCATACATAATATCTCGTATGTATTGTTATGCAATAATACTAGCTAACATTTATATACATATGTCAGCTATTGTTATTCTATATAAAGGAAGAGCCTTCTCTAATTTGCTTTTCATTTTCCTAATTAAAAATTCACACTAACCGTAATTACTCTCTCTCTTACTTCTTTTTTCTTTGTTCTTCCAAATCTTTCTACTAGTTTTTTAAATCCAGAAAATGCCCTAGAGAAGAATAACAAAAGGCTCAACAAACTGCTTCCCACTTCAAAGCTTTTATTTTTGAAAATAGGCCAAACCTGGGGAGGCCTCAGACACTTGACACTTAACTAGCTGTGTGACCTTGGGCAAGTCACTTAACACCATTGCCTGGCAAAACAAAACAAAACAAAACAAAACAAACCCCAAAACAAAACAAAACAAAAAAAGAAAATAGGCCAAACTTGGCCTGGACTCCTGGTATAAAAGTTATCCTCCAGGGGGCCTTGAGGTGGATAAGTTTGAGACCCACCAGGGATTTCAGGTCAACTTTCAGGTTGCCAGATTCTTTCTAAGGCCATGGAGGGTGCCCTGGACTTTCCCTAGAGCAGATTTGGGCCCCAGTATGAGCCCCAGGGTTCTTTCACCTTCTCTTGCTGTACCAGAGATGAACTCATCCTGGGTTAGACTTGGGGATGAGCAACAGATGGTATGGCCCCTTTCCTGATTCTCCTTTAGTCCAAACCCTTCCTGTTAGCATTGGGTGGACTGGGATATTACTTGCTGGGGTTTTGTTGAATACTGTTAAATTCAGAATAGGAAGCTCCTGGACAGCTGATAGAGATGGATTGAGGGTGGTTCCATGGCAGTAATGGCACAGTGTGAGATTGTGTAGGTTTTATTTTCTCTTAGGAAGGCAGGGTATTTCTCTGGAACCTTCTTATTCTCAGCATCTTCCTTCTGCAGCAGAAGACTACTGGGGAAAGAGGAATGTAAAAAAAAAAAAAACCTAATTGATTAGTGTCTTCATAAAAAATGGTCCAACAAATAGGAATGTGAATTTAGGTATTCTAGTGCTGCCTATCAGGTGTGAAATTTGAAACATTCCCTACAACTCTTTTCTATGTCCTCCCCCAAAGGACTTGTGTTTTTTTTTTTTAATTTATTTTTATTCTGAACTTACCAAGCATAAAATAAAATTTTGGGCATTGGTACATACATAGTAGAAAAGAAAAAAAGAATTGTATACAAAAATTTGGATCCCTATTATGTGTAATTTATTTTTCTCTGTAAGTATATAATGAGTTCAACCTGTTGAGTTCAAAGCTGTACTGCTTGTCCATGCTTTTTTTTTTCCTGGCTCTTCTTTTGTTCTCTGCATGTTTAAAAAGATGCCTGATTATCCCTTCTTCGTTCCCTCCCTCCTTCTCTCTCCTTCCCCTTCCCTCCCTCCCTCCCTCCCTCCTTCCTTCCTTCCTTCTTCCTTCTTTTTCTTTCCTTTCCCTTCCTTCCTTCTTTCCTTTCTTCCTTCCTTCCTTTCTCCCTTTTCTTTCTTCTTTTCCTTTATCCTCCCTTTCCCCTACCTCCCCAAATTGGGAAAACAAGAAAAAAAGGAAGGAGAGAGGTCTAATTTATGAATTTTATTTATGTATTTTTATTTTTATTCTGAACTTTCCAAACATCAAAAGAATGGTCATCTGCTTTTGCATAGTAGAATAGATTGTACATGAAATTGCAGATCTTTATTGTATATAGTTTACTTCTCTTTTTAAACTTTTAATCAGCTCAGTTTATAGCTTTCAAAGTTATCTTGGGCATTTCTGATCTTCCCTTTATCCTTTTCTTTCCATATTTCAAAGAAATGTCTCAATGAGGACCTTTTCCCCCTCACTCCCTTCCCCACTGTTTTTTTTTTAACTCTATCTCTATCCTCTCTCACTATCTTATTCTTCCCATTGCAAAATAATAATAAAAAAAAACAAAGACTAGCATTTTAATGTAACTTGGTAAAGAGTATTGTTTGTAAGTGAGAGAACCACTCATCCTTCCTTTCAGAAAATAAGTGCTGCAGAAGGGCATTGAGGATGCTCTACAAATATTAGTCACTGAATAACTAAGTCACACACCAACCTGTCAGAGTCATTGAAAAGGAACCTACTGTGTTTACTTTATTTTGATATCTTTATTGCTCTAGCAGAAAGAAGCCCAGATCCATAAAACTGGGGAAAGGTTATAGATAAGGGAGTCACGAGGGCCTGCTTGGCTCTCATGAGGATTCTGAGAGGGGAAAGAGAAAGAGGAAAGAAAGTCCAATCACAGTGTACCAAGATTGCTCTGAGTTTTTATAGTCTTGCTTTATTTTAGTAGCTTTAAGGCTTCTGTAATTATAACAACAATAATAATGACAATAATAGCAATCATAGCTGACATTTATATAATGCTTGCTATGTGCCAGGCACTTTGGTAAGCACTTTACAATAAATTCATTTGAATCTTACAACAATCCTGGGAGGTAGGTGCTATTATTATCCCCATTTTATAGATGAATAAACAAAGGCAAACTAGGGGTAAGTGACTTCCCTGGGGTCACACAGCTAGTAAGTGTCTGATGCTGCATTTGAACGCAAGTCTTCCTCACTCCAGTACTGTTCTTGATCCACTGTGCCATCTAGCTAATATTAATGTCACAGCTCCATGTACAGATAGAGACTGCTTGGGTTAAGTAAAAGGGTACTAAATAGAAGACTGGCTCTGTGATTTCAATGGCATAGGGAACTCTAAGGTGAGGAAATTCCTTCTACAAAGTCAACTTACAGCCACTAAGAGACCTAGAGCTGTGATTCTCAAACTTTTTGGTGTTAGGACCCCATTACACTCTTGAAAATTATTGAGAATTCCCCTCCCCACCCCCAAACTCCGCCAAGAGCTTGTGTTTACATCAGTTATATATATGGATATTTACCATATTAAAAATAAAAATACAGTATTATTATGAAAATATTTTTGACCTCACAGACTCCCTTAAAGGGTCCTCAAGACAACACTTTGAGAACTGATGGCCTAGAGTATTGAGAAGTTAAGTGACTTGCCCAGGTTCACCCAACCAGTCTATGGCAGAAGCAGAATTTAAACCCAGGACTCCCTGGACTCAAAAAAGTTCAATTTTTTTTTTAATGTACTCTACCTTCTCCCTTTCCCCCTACTCCCCCAAATAAAGTACTTTGAAAATAGAAATAGATGGATGAGTAACACTTGCATGCTGAGTTTGTGGATTTTAGCATCAATTAGGTGATTTAAGTAATCCATTTCATGGGGCCTACTTGATGCTAAATTCTGTCAGCTCCTTTGTTTCTCCTCATTTTATGAACTGCTGAAACTGCTAGAACTAACTGTACAATGTGTACTTTGCCAAAAAAACTTGGAAGGTAGAATGGCTGAAGAAACTTGGGATAATTTGCTTTCCAAAATGATAATCCATTGATTTGTACAAATGTATTTTCCTCTTGTAAAATGGATTAGTTGACTATTTTAATATTACTTTTATGCTCATATTGAATTAATACAATAAAGAAAACTCATAGCTTATAAGCATAAAGTATATAAATTGGGTTCTTGCCATGTGTATAATTTCTTTGATTATTTGGGATTCATTAAAATAACATTTTCACTCATTTTCCTGCAGAAGAACTTCCTCATTGGGTACTGTCAGCTATGAAATGCTTAGCAAATTGTAAGTATGCTTGTAAGTAAGTACACTAGATCTACCAATTTAGTCAATGCTATTGGCCTAAATGGAAAAAAAAACATGATTTCTATCTAGCAAGCTTGTTTTTGAGAGCGCTTAACACAATACCTGACACATAGTGGGGGCATAATAAATGTTATTGATTGCTAATACTAAGAGTCATCATCAACATTATCTTTCTTCTCCTCTCCTCTCCCCTGCACTGTGCCCCACCAAATTATTGCATATTCCATGGCCAAGTTGTACTTTTTGAACACTTAATATGCATGGAATCCTGAACTAAATGTGGTAGAGGAGACAAAGCAAATAGATAAAACTGTCATTCTGTCTAACTTAGTCATACATAATTACTTCTTTGGGCTTGGGGAGTTATTTAAAAAAGCATCCCACAAGTGAAATATTATCTTGTGGTATTTGTCCTTTATTTTAGCAACACTTAGACCTATACCAGCTGTAAGTTGTCTCCGCCATTAGTCTGTGAGCTTCTTGTGAGGAGGGACTGTCTTTTACCTTTCTCTGTATCCCTACCCCTTAGCAACATGTTGGATACATATTAAGCATTTAGTAAATGTTTTATTGACTGACTTTATTGTTCAGTGGTTTTCAGTTGTGTCCAACTCTTTGTGACCACATATTGAGATTTTGTTGGCAAAGATGCTGGAGTGGTTTGCTATTTCCTTCTCCAGCTCATTTCACAGATAAGGAAACTAAGACAAGCAGGGTAAAGTGACTTGCCCCCGGTCAGGTAGCTAGGAAGTATCTGATGCCAGATTTGAACTCAAGAAGATGAGTCTTCTTTTACATCAGGCCTGGGGCGCTATCCTCTGTACCACCTAGCTGCCACAGGTTGACTAATGTTTATTATTGCTGCTGTTGTTATCATTTTTCTGTTAGACTGCATTCTGATATGTAATATCTTGCTTTTCCTCCTCAGTCTTTACTTCACCAATGGATCATGGCACAGAAGGAGCCTTAAGCTCTCAATGCCAGTAGAGCATAAGCTCTAGTAGGTCCTACTAATCTGGAAAGGCTTTGAATACAGACTCATCAATGAACTGTATATATCTTACCAGATTTGGAGAGGTTCATCACCAGAGGATTGGCCACCAGATGACAAATATTTCTTTTGGCCTCAGCACCTCATTAAATGGTTTAGTAAGGCTTGGAAGGGTCACAGTCTGCACTGGTAGAGGGAGGAGCCATGCAGACAGTCATGGACACTGCAATTTTGAAGTAATGTCTTGTCTAATTGGCTTGCTTAGTAAGGAAGTCATTCTGACTCAAAGGTCTGAGTTATGGAACATTTTAAAATAAATGCAGCCTTTTTAACTTCAAAATGAAAATTTCTGGATTTATTAAGTTCTCATTCACTCTAGGCAGAGCACTATTATACTAGTTTCTTGGTAACAGATAAAACAGTAGTACCTCATATAAGCAATGTAATTCACCAAAATTATTATAATTAAATTAGAAATAATATATGCATCTGAGTAGTATATCATCAAAGCTCAGTCGCAGTTCACTGTGTGGTCTGAGAGGGGAAAGGTCATTCCTTTTCAAGACATGTGAAGGATGGTTGAGAGAACGTAGGGGAGAAGGCCTGTCAGTAGGCATTGAAATAGTCCAGGAAGGTGGTAATTAGGGCCTATACTAGGATGGTAGTAGTATGAATGGAGGGCAAGGGATGGATTCAAGAGAGATTTTGGGAAAAAACTGAATTTAGTTATGGGATATGAGAGTTGAGAGAAAGAGAAGAGTAAGAGATAACTCTAAGACACAAAATGATGTTAATAAGAAAAGGAAAGGAAGAAGAAGGTTATATTTTTTCAGGGCTTTGATCTATGAGAATTATTTGTAATTAGCATATCCATTATTGCATACAAGTTGCTACTAAAGTGATATTTGAAAACAATGTGTAGACCTCTGCTGCCAAGAAGGCTACATTTTCTTCTTTTTGACTCTATTTCACACCTTTTTCTCTCTGTAGCACAGAGGATACAGGTACAACTCTAAAGTATTTCTCCTCCCAGTGTCTTCTAATCTATTTTTGTCACCCATTGGCACCTTGGACTGAGAGTTTGGATACGTGTTCATAGCTCAGCTTTACTATGGACACAACACTTGATCACTCAGCTCCTATTTCCCCAATTGTAAAATGAAGAAGATGGAACAGATTCTGAGATTCAATGGAACAGATTCCTTGCTATTCCATTCTATGATTTTGTGTCATACCTTGGCAACTTAGGACCCTTGCTGTCATTTCTTATCTTCACCAATTCACCTGCCTTCCAATCTTTCTCATGGTTTTTCTTCTCCTCTACCTCCTCCCCACAAAAATCATTTGCCTGTATCACCTTGCTTCAGAACCATGTTCTCTGGGTTTTAATGATTGCCAGTTGAATAAATATTTATTGAGTTCTGGAAGATACAGAGGGCTAAAAAGACAGTCTCTGCCTTCATAGAGCTTACAGTTTCATTGGTGAAGCAAGACTTACATGTAAAAGAAAACTAGAGAATAATACAAGATGACATTAGAACGCAGTGCCAAAAAGGAGAGTTTTCTATGAACTTGAGTAGTCAGGAAAGATTTTTAGGCAAGTTTGGCTTTGGTTGGAATTGAGTAGAAAGAGCAGTGGTGTGTGAATTCCAGGCAGAGGTGAGTTACCCAAGTGGAGAAAGGTTTACTCTAAGGCTTCAGAAGGGTCTTTCATCTTTGTATCCCCTGCACCTTGTACTCAGTACCTAGCATGTAGCAGATGCTTAATAAAGGTTTGTTGCATTAAAGAATGAGCATGGCATATTCAAGGGACAAGAAAGAGACTGTCTTGGATGCAATGAAAAGTTTGAGTGGAGAGTAGTGGCACCCGATGTTGGAAGGGAAGAGCTAAAGGACCGTCAGTGCTGAGCTGAGGAGTTTGAATATTATCAAATGAGATAATATTTGTACAAAGCACTTAGCCCAGGGCCAGGCACCAAGTAAGTGCTATATAAATACTTCTTCCCTTCTTTCTCCCCTCCCTATGTGATCCTGTGGTCAGGTTGTGTCATGGATTCCTTTGGAAGTTTGGTAAAATATAGATCCTTTCTCAAAATAATGTTTTTGTGAGAATAAAATAAAACAGGACTAAAAAGGAAACACATCTTTAAAAAAATAGTTATCAATATAACTATCCATCAAACTAGATAAACCTAGAAAACCATTAAATGATGACTGAAGGCTCAGAAATGAGACCTCTTAAAAAGCATTAAAGGAACTAGAATTATCTATTCCTGGAAAAGAAAAAGCTGATGGATGATTACACAATGACCATTAAATGTATTAAGTATACTTATATTAGGTTGTAATTTCTGGAGGCTTAGACTGCCATATATATTTGTCCTGCACTCTTTAGTGCTTTATATGCAACATTTACTAAGTAAATATTTGTTAAGTTTTCCTATTGTGTGTATTCACTAAAGTCAATACAATAGGAAAAGACCTTAAACAGTGCTTTTGAATCCACTTCACAAGATCAGTAAGTTTACCAGGATTCCATTTGGCCAGAAAAATGTTCTTTGACCTCCTTCAAAGTCATTTCACCTACAACCCAGGTCCTCATGAAAGCCTTCAAAAGAGCAATCGATTAGATAGGTAGGTTATCTTGTATTTTTAGGCCCATTGCCTCGTGTTCTTTGTTTGCTCTCTCCTTTCCAATTTTTTTCTAGGTTGTCTGCATATGATTGATTATTTTTTCCCTTCATAGAATCATTATACTCTTAGAGCTGGAAGGGACCTTAGAGCTTGTATAGGCCAACCTTCTCCTTTTTTAAAAGATAAAACTGAGGTCAAAGGAGGCATGGCTGTCTTAATTACCAGGAGAATTTTATGCTGCTACTAGCAGAAGTTTTTCAAATGCATCTATGATCTTGCCAATTTAGGAGTTCCCTCCAACATGGATCACTGGCTAGCATGTTTGCCTGCCCAACCTGTGCCACTCTTGTCCTTATCTCCCCCAAGGTCTGTCATGGAGGGTCCACCCAGTGTGCTTGAGGCCTTTCTTGTTTTCTCCTGACATCACAGTATTGGCCTTCACAATCATATTGCCTCCAGTGCAAATCTCTCTATAGACTTAATACAACCTGGTGGTTCTTGCCTTCATTTTCTTTAATGCTACTTTAATCTCTTTGGTAACACCTCAAGGACTGTGGTGTTGGGGTTCAGGTGTAGTGTTCCTTGATAACTATCTTTAATGGAGAAAAAATTTAAAATTTTTTTTACAAATCTTTTCCATTTTTTCTTTTGTTTGTAGTCCTTTTTTTCCATCTTCATCCTCAAATGTCCTTAGCATGATTTTGTTTAGTTGGTTATTTTGTCAAGCTTTCTTAAAATTGGTTTTTACCCTTCACTGCTTTTCTTTCTACTTTATTAGACTGTCATCTTTCTTTATAAGGTTTTAGAAATGGACTCTTTTATCTGCTTATTGGAACAATTAACTTACATTGGTTTAACTTCTCAATTACATTATAATAGTTGTTGATGTCATTTCTGGTATCCAATTCCTATTTTTTATAACATTTAAGTAATTCAAGGTCAAATCTTTCTAATTGTAGGCTGTCTTTTTCCCCTCATTATTCTTTCTTTTTCTTTTTTAAAATACAAATTCTAATCTTTACTCTCAGAAATTGATGGTCTGACTGTAACAAGATAATTGACTCAGGAATAACTTCCACCTCAATATGATATCTTTTTTCGTTCATTAAAATATAGGCAATTTGGGGGGGTTTTATGCTGTTGTTTATTGTTCTCCATGACCTATCAATTCTTTTTTTTTTTTTCAAGAAAGTATTCATGATAAAGAGGCATAAAGCCTCTGCATAATTTACAGGTGTTTGGCTTCTCTCTTTTCTTTCTTCTCAGCCATAATTTCTCGTTTATTTCTCCCTATACTTACATTTTCCATCTTTGCAATGAAGTCACCGAGTGTCAGAGTATAGGTCCCGATTAGTGAGAACGATGGATCCCATTGGGGGTCAGATTATTCATATTTGAACTTTATGTTTCTCTTGGGCTGGGACAAATGACCATATTTCATATAATTATAATTTTAGGTAGAATGAATTTGAATACATGTGACACTTCATGGGATTAATTATTTACACTAATCAAGACCTGGCTGATTTGATTTGAAGAATTTTGCCAAGTCAAGTTGTTGATAAAATATCTCTGCCATTTTATCCTCAGTTACTGATATTAGTGAGTGAGCAACATTAATTTCATGGTGGTCTTTTTGTAAAGAGTTATATTATTACTACAATATGTGATGAAAATTATCCCATGGAGTAGTATTTCTTATATTTAGATGTATGATAAAACCAACTTCTGCCAACTTCTTTCATTGCCTCTTCAAGGAGTGCTTGTGTGCCATCCTATTTCCCTGCATTTTTTTCTTTTGTTCTGATTTGTTTTATAATTTCAAGGATTTTGAGACTGATATGATTTAGCTCCCTGAATAGTATTAATATACTCATTGGTCATTGTACAAGGACTTTTCATTTAAGAGTTTTTTTGGTTGTATAATTAGTTTTCAAGTTGTGTCCAATTCTTCATGACCTCATTTGGGGTTTTTGTGGCAAAGATACTGGAGTGGTTTGCTGTTTCCTTCTCTAGCTCATTTTACAGATGAGGAAACTGAGGTAAACAGGGTTAAATGACTTGCCCAGGGTAACACAGCTCGTAACTGTGTCTGAGGCTGATTTGAGCACAGAGATGAATCTTCCTGACTCCAGGCCCAGCATGTGTCACCAGGAGACAAAATGAAGCTCGTTGACAATGTAAACATTGTGATTCTTCATATCTTTTATCCCCTTTCCTGCTACTCTGCCACCTCCCTGCAGAAGTAAAAGTGGGCTGTACCAGAATGAAGGCCATTTTTTCATTTTTCTTTGTTTTTTTGGGTTGCTATAGAAAGAATTTTTTTTTTTTCCATCATGGAATAGTCAGTCTACTAGTGATGTGCCTATCTGTGATTACTTAAGTTGGTCCTTGGAAAACAAACACAGTTTGTTGGCAGTGCTATATCCAAAGAATTTTCCTTAATGGTAGGAATCTGCCATAGCAAGGTTATGTGCTCTCTGGCCTACCCTTTGAGAAGCCATGCTGTGGGGAGGACTCTGTGAAGGTGGAACAAGTTACTAAAGCAAATTGTAAAATCTTCTTCTCTGGATGGTTTTAAAATTAGGATTGAATCATTTACACAGATATAAGGGAATAGATAACCATACTCTCCCATGTGATTTCATGGTATAGAAAACATAGAAATAGTTGCCTTTTTTCATGTGGTTTATATCAAAATGGTATATTCTTTAAACTGCACCAAGTGATAATTTTTCAGTTTCCCTAGGAGTTGTGTTTTCTTCAGTATCTCAGCATAACTGTATCATGGCCAAGAAAAATTTGAGAATATCTGAAAGCTACTGATACCTTTCATTTTTTAAAAAGATTTTTAGAAAGGCACAAAGAAAATTTAAAAATTTAATAAATAATAAATTTATTTATTGAAATAAATCTATTTTAAAATAGATTAAGCTATAGTCTAATTCTTGTTGCTTTTTTATAATTGATGTTAAATTGTCCATAACACTCTGCCACTAACTTACTGTGTAGCCTTTGATAACTCTCTTCCCCTTTCTGTTCTTCCATTTCCTCATCTAAATATAAAGGAAGAAGGTGGACTAGCTGATCTTTGAGCTCTTTAGCAGTGCTCACATCCTGATTCTCTGAATGTGAAATACGTAGTTAGCCAACGTTAAGGCTATATATTTCTTTGTTGTGACAATTTATGTTTATAACATTAGTTTTCTTTATGAAACATGTTTGATCTTTAATAAAAATATTTATCTAGCTTTGCTAATGAAATTCCTTTTTCTTTCTTTCTTTCTTTCTTTTTTTTTTTAAACAGGGCCTACTTGTCCAGACTTGAAGCAGCCTATGTATTCAGGGTTTGAAAAAGATGTCTTTAAAACTATAGCAGATTACTATGGTCACTTGAAGGAACCTCTGCTCACATTTCAGCTTTTTGATGTCTTTGTCAGTGTCCTGGGTAAGTTGCAATATAATGAATAGAAGACTGTACCATAGGAACGGAACCATTTCTTCTTGCATTATCTTAAGGCTTTCATCTGCTACAGCTCGCAGCATTTCAGGGAATTAAAATCTATTGTCCAATGAAGGGTGTTTGATTTAGTTTGAACTCTTCTATGAGAATACTCTAAGGCAGGAAGACATTTAAGGCTTGTATGAGACCCCAGGCAAAAGGCCTATTGGTTTAAATTTTATGAAGAATAATAATATACTGGAATATCATCTTCTTATGAGAAAGTCTAACATCACTGCTGAAGTAACAAGTGAGTTTGGCATTTACAGTCCTTTATTAAATCTACTACACAGGATAGGACTTTATTAACACCCAAGTGTAGGAATTTTATTTTTAACCAGGAGATCAAACTTTTGTTTTATGAAAGAAATAGATTTTTATACTGACGGCATCATTTCAGTCTTGTGTATTTATCTTACAGACAAATAATTCCCATCCAAGTCACATAGTAGGGTGAATAAAGTTCACGTTTTCATTGTAAGTTCTTCAAAATTTGTTACTTTCTTCAGAGAAGCACATTCTTGGTTGGCCATTTGGATGTTCTGTTTAGTAATCATTCTTGTTTTGACACTAAGGAGTTTGATTAAAAGTCTAAATCACATGACATAATACAAAAATGAGAGAATTAGTATATCCCTGGTCTTCAATGTTCTTGATGTTTTAACAGGAAACATAATCTCTCTGCCTGGAGCTGTACTATTAATGGCTATTGCTATGGTGCCTAAGAAACAGGAAAATTGTCAGCTTTATGAATACAAATTATTGTTCTGTGAATGAGAAAGCTGATATTTTAACGTGGTAATTTGGAGCCTAGAATATTGTCAGAACTCATAATATTAAGTAATGACAAATACTAATTATAAGGCATGCACCAGGGAGTAGATTTGTGTTTTCAAAACAAGTCAACACTGGAGAAAAGAATCCAGAAACAATCATCTGCTACCTGGATTTTACTGTCTTTCTGCATTGTGCCTAGTTTTTTTTTTTCCTTTTTTTTAAATAGAACCTTAGTGTAAGAAGGCACCTCAGGCACCATTGAATCCAACTCCTACCGAGGTCATCCGTCCTATATATAATTTGTCTAATAAGTAGTCATATAGCTTCTTCTTGAATACCCCCAGTGATGGGAAATTTACTACTTTATGAGGTAATTAATTTTATTTTTATACTGTTGTAATAATTAGGAAGCTTTTTCTTATGTTGAAACAAAATCTGTCTTATTTCTGATTCCCTTGCTACCATAATATCATCCCCCCTGCACCCGCACCCCAAGCATCTTCCACCTACTGGTATTAGTTCTGTTTTCAGAGGGTGGGAGGAAAGGTGTGTGTATGTGGGGGAACAGAACAAATCATTATAATGGCAGTTTGTTCCATCTTATTTTTTTTAAATAAGGTTGTGTTGATATTTTCTGTTTCTTACATCACTCTGATATCTCATGTATCCCTCCTCCCCCTACCAGAGAACCAACCCATATGACAAATAGTATTTTTTGGAGAAGAAAAAAAAAGTCAGCATCACTGATTGATACATTAAAAAAGCCTGAAAACATGTGCAGTGGGTAACACTGTGGACCTCACACCTCCACGAAGAAGTAGCTTAGGAATGTCTTCTCATACTCTTTATTTGAATCACACTTGATCTTTATAAGTTTGTTGCATGTGCTTTTAATTTTTTTAGTATGTATCTGTTCTTTCCATTGTTCTTTAATTGTTATAGTCTTCTGTATATTGTTTTCTTAGTTCTACTTGCTTCACTATGTATCAGTTCATATAGATTTTTCCATGCTTCTCTGTATTTATGACACATCTCATTTCTTATAGCACAATAGTATTCTATTACATTCATATACCACAATTTATTTAGCTGTTCCCTAATTGATAGGCATTTACTTTGTTTCCACTTCTTAGCTATCATAATAAGTGCTGCCATGAGTATTTTGGAGTGTATGGGGACTTTTTCCTCATTGATGGCTTCCTTAGAGTATAAAGAGTTTCTGGTTCAAAGGTTATGGACATTTTAGTCACTTTATTTGCATAATCCCAAATTGCTTTCCAAAATGTTTGTATAATTTCACAGTTCCACCAACAAAAAAATTAGAGTTCTCATCTTTCCCATAGCCCTTCCAGTATTGACTGTTGCCATTTTTGCCAATTTGCAGAATATGAGGCGAAACCTTAGGGTTGTTTGGATTTGCATTTCTCTTTTTATTAGTGATTTGCTCCTTGTTATTTTTAAAGATCAGGAAGAAGTCCCTTAAAGAAGCTTCATGGAAAGGAAAATGGAATATCATGATTTATCAGTATGATTAGAGGAGGTGATAGTTAATGTAACCATCTGGTTTGGAGTCTTTACAGAGAAAATTAAAACTGGAGACCTAAACCTAACCTAAACCTAAACCCAAACCTAAAGTTTGAAATATCCATAGTATCAATTCAATCCTTAATCTTTTTACATTAGGCAAGTTTAGAGTCGCACAGTTTACCTTTGAACATCCATTTAAAGTCTTTGAAAAGAGCTACTCGTTGGCTATTCTTCTTCCTTTGATTTTTTTTTCTTGTCACCATAACTAGCATTTCTAAAATAATATTATATAATAGTGTTGATAATGGACATCCTTGCTTCACTCCTGATCTTATCGGGAAAGATTCTAGTTTATTTCCATTACAGACAATGCTTGCTCTTGGTTTTGGATAGATACCACTTATTTTAAGAAAGGCTCCATTTATTCCTATGCTCTCTAGTGTTTTTAATAGGAATGAGCATATTTTGTCAAAAGTTTTTTCTGCATCTATTGAGATAATCATATGATTTTTGTTGGTTTTGTTATTGATATGGTCAATTATGCTGATAGTTTTCCTAATATTGAACCAGCCCTGTATTCCTGGTATAAATACCACTTGCTCATAGTGTGTGTCCTTTGTGACATATTGATATAATCTTCTTGATAGTATTTTATTTAAATTTTTTGCATCAGTGTTTGTTAGGCAAATTAGCCTATAATTTTCTGTATTTACTCTCCCTGGTTTAGATATAAAAACTATATTTGTGTCACAAAAGGAATTTGTTAGGACTCCTTTAATAACTGTTTTTTTGCAGACAGTTTATATAATATTGGAATTAATAATGCTTTAAATTATTGGTAAAATTCACTTGTAAATCCATCTGGTCATGAGGATTTTTTCTTAGAGAGCTCATTATTATTATGGCTTGTTAAATTTCTTTTTCTAAGACAGAGTTATTTAAGTATTCTATTTCTCTTTCTATTAATCCAGGTAATTTATCTTTTTATAAATACTCATTCATTTCACTTATATTGTCAGTTTTATTGGCATATAATTGGGTGAAATAGCTCCCAATAATTGCTTTCATTTCATCTTCATTGGTGGTACATTCATACTTTTTATTTTTGATACTGATAATTTGTTTTTCATTTTTTAAATCAAATTAACCAATGGTTTATCTATTTCATTGGTTTTCTCATAAAACCAGCTCCAAGTTTTATTTATTAGTTAAAATTTTTTGAACTTTCAATTTTTTTCATTAATATTTCCTTTGATTTTTAGGATTAATTAGGGGTTTTTAATTTGTTCTTTTTCTAGTTTTTGTTGTTACATGCCCGATTCATTTGTCTATTCTCTCTGTGTCTGTCTGTCTTTCTCTTTCTGTCTCTGTGTAACATGGCTAGTATGGAAATATGTTTTATATGACTTCATATATATATATATATAACTGATACATTGCTTGTCTTCTCAATGGGTGAGGGAGGAACTGGAGGGAGGCAGAGGATTTTTTAAAAAATTATTTTTAAAAATAAATTAAAAATAGTTTTTAAAAAAGAAAAGAGATACTCCATCCACTTTGCTGAAGGTTTTCATGGTGTTTTTTGGTTTGAACTGAGTTTTTAGTCTAGTGAAGGGCATTTTACTTTGTAGTTGGACTTTATGCCAAAGATAATAATCCTGGGAATATTTAGTGGCTGTTGAGGTTTTTGAGGTATGAAATAGGATTTCTTTGAGTTCTTTTAAAATGTACTCTTTAAAAAAAAAAAACCACTTAACTTCACCAAATAAATCTAGGAACAATCCCTTACTGCCTTTAAATTTTTATAGTCCTTCATTTCCAGAAACTGTTTCTTTTAGTGAAAGTTGGGTGTGTAAGTTGTGAGAACTTGAACTGCCCCAGACATCTGTGAAGATAGCATGGTAGCATGTGAATATCTCAGTTAGCTACAAATGGGAAATGGTTCTGTTGTTTCTCACATTTAATTTAAAACAATCCATGAATAAAATAAATATTTTCAGTGCTTTTTATGCTATATGTTTTTTTGGGGGGTAGGTAGTGTGGTGGGTGAAAGATAAAATGACTAAGAAAACAAAGATTCAATCTTCCAAGCATATTCATTTATCCAGCAGTGCATGCCAATTGCCCAACAAACTGGCACTAGACACCCTCTGTATAGGCCTGGACCTCGAATACAGGAGGAGACAAACTCTTATAATTAAAAATAATTAATCAAATAAGTATAATTATCTATTATTATTATTTTTTTGGCTAGGCAATGGAGTTAAGTGACTTGCCCAGGGTCACACAGCTAGTAAATGTTATGTGTCTGAGGCTGGATTTGAACTCAGGTCCTCCTGACTCCAGGGCCAGTGCTCTATCCACTGCACCACCTAGCTTCCCCTTTTTTTAAAAAATTTTTTAGGATGATTATCTAAAAGGAAACAATACAACATTAGGCAATCTTGTTTCTAACTGGATGAAAGATTAGGGACTGAGAGCTAACAGGTGCAATTCCCTAAAATCAGAAAAAGAGATGTTCCACTTCCCCCAAGTGTCTGTAAACAATCATAAGGAACAAGAAAACAATATCTAATTGATCAGTATGGGGCCAGTTTTTAGATAAGACATATGAATTGCTTGAGATATATAACTGGAAGCAA